ATAGAGCAAAACTGCAAGTTCAGCTGGTCCGTCTTCTGCTCAGGTAAGCTTATTTGTTAGTTTTCGCATGTTTTAGCACACCACTTTATCAGTCAAGTGTTTATTAGTGTAAAACTTTCTTCCTATCTCACAGCCTACTTCCATCACTACATCTACCACATCGTCAACTACGGTAATTTTCTTACATATCTGTTCTTGTTTGGAAGTATGCAATCACCATATGGTCTTCTTGGTTAATTTAATACAAGCTTGCATCAATCGACCAGCCTGCAGCTCTGTCAACAACCCAGTCTGTAGCTGTGCCAGCTTCAAATTCTACTCCCGCTCAAGAACAACTGGCGTAAGTTTATTATTCTAAAATAAGAGGCTTCATTGGGGAAAAAAATTCATTAACATTGGTGACTTGAATATATATTTTGAGGATTTTATTGTACGTGTAGGGCACAAAGTGACACCTATGGTCAAGCTGCTTCAACTTTAGTTAGTGGCAGTAGTGTTGCGCAAATGGTTCAAGAAATAATGGATATGGGAGGGGGCAGCTGGGACAAAGAAACAGTTACTCGTGCACTTCGTGCAGCGTATAACAACCCTGAGAGAGCAGTGGATTATCTATATTCTGTATGCCCCTTCTTCGTAATAGTGTCCTGTGAATGCTTAAAGGGAACGAAACTGCTGAATTTTTTTATTTATTTTCAGGGAATTCCTGAAACAGTAGCCGTTCCAGTAACTAACATATCGGGAGTAGGATCTGGCGCAGACCTTGTCGCACCTCCTGCCTCTGGAGGACCTAATTCATCTCCTTTGGATTTGTTTCCACAGGTAAGAGCTTGGTGTTTTTCTGTGCATCGAAAAGAGTAAATTGGAGTTTAGTTCCCATTGCATGCTGCGGATTTGTTTGTTCCCAGGAAGCAGTGTCTGATGCTGGTGCTGGAGATCTAGGAACGCTTGAATTCCTTAGAAGCAATGATCAGGTTGTTACTTTATCCTTGCCCCCTCATTTTGATTTGCGAGGTCGTGTAGAATGATTAATGACTTGAATATTGGCAACTAGACTTGCTTATACACTAATCTTGCTACATTTCCATTTGATTTAGTTCCAACAATTACGCTCCATGGTTAATTCCAACCCCCAGATTCTGCAGGTAAAGGACTCTTTATCATGCCTGTAGGTCCATAAATTAGTATTCTGATTTTTTTATTGCTTCTGAACATCTCATGGCTGCTTCTGTTACAGCCTATGCTTCAAGAGCTCGGAAAGCAGAACCCCCAACTTCTGAGGCTAATTCAAGAGAACCAAGCAGAATTTCTTCAGTTACTAAACGAGCCCTATGAAGGATCTGACGGGTGAGTACTCTACAATCTGCAGATTGTTTTCTTAGTTTGGCCAATGTTTGAATCGCTAAATCTGTTGTGAATGATCAAAGCAATCACTCACAATATGTGATTTCATGATTCAATGGCTCTTATCGATTGTCCAAAACTATCAGGGATATGGATATTTTTGATCAAGCTGATCAAGAAATGCCCCACGCAGTCAACGTTACCCCTGCAGAGCAAGAAGCGATTCAACGGGTACATACACACATACACACACATTCCTCATCACCATTATAACAACTCGTAACACCAATTTTTTTCTAACTCTTGCCTTAAACCTCTTTGATTAGCTTGAGGCAATGGGATTTGATAGAGCATTAGTCATAGAAGCCTTCCTTGCGTGTGACCGTAACGAAGAATTGGCTGCAAACTATCTGCTAGAGAACTCAGCTGATTTTGAAGACTGAGTGAGTTCACACAACACAAAATCAGCCTTTTAACCAAAAAACAGAAGCACAAAGATAAAGTTTTGTCCATCTCCTCTTTCATCTAAACCATTCGTTTTTACTCTCATCAAAATCTAAGATGATCATATACTATAGTATTATTCTTACATCTCCCCATATTAATCCTAAAGAATAAATCTGCTTTTTCCAC